CAGATTAAAAAGTGAGACTAAATGGACCGAATCTTAATCTTAAATACTTGCAACAGGTTAGCTTTATGTAAGTAAACGATATTTTTACACTTTCTGAAAAATACCAATATATATATATATATATATATATATATATATATATATATATATATATAGAATATATCCTCTGGTAAAAAATAGAGTTCAAAATTTCTAATAGTATACGAACTCTCTTTCATACTTTTAACATTTTTTAATATTTTGAAATTGAATGGATAGAATTTAAATTTTTTTGTTAATGATAAAATTAAAGTTGACGTCTCTTGTCGTTTTTTTTTAAATTACTGCTTGCTAATAAAAATAAAAATGAAATTTTCGGGTTAAATATCGTTAATATTTTTAAATATTTCTGTTTGTTTTACGTAGATATGAAAATTAAATATAAATCATCAAAGGAAAAAATATCGAAATTGTGTTTGTGGAATAAACAGACGGGCATATGCGACAGTTTATCAAATATCGCCAACTTCGTTTGATCTGCCATATTTCCATATAGATTTAATTTTATTTTAAGTTGTGCATTTTCGAAAATATAAAAAACAACTGAGGAAAGTAAGTGCGCGTATTTTTAGACGACTTTATTTTCACTACGTAATTATATGTATGGATAAATGACTCAGAAAGTAAAACCTATATGCACAGGTCTTCGCATATACATATTCATATGCAAATCATTTAATACGTATTATTAGTTTTACTTGACAATTGTATAAATGGAAAAAGGAAACTTTTAAATTTTAGTTTAAGTTTTACTTTAGTGCAATACACAGGCAAAATGTTAAAAAATGTAAGTAATTATATTTAATTAATATAGATAGTAGACTGGGCCAAAAAAATCAACTATTTTTTTTTAAAGTATATCGAAAATATGGTTTGGGGTGACAAAAAAAATTATTGTGAAAGTTTCAGTCCATAATATTAATATTAAGAGGTCTATCATCGCAATTTTAATTTTTTTTTCCTCAGCAAGTTTTTGTCTCAGAACTCCCAAACCATTGAGTTTAACAAAATTGACTGGAAAACATTTTCTGAAGAAAATTGAATGCTCTACAAAAAAGGTTAAAGTAAAATTTTTCGTCAGATGAACCGTTTCCTTAAAGTCATGCCTTAAAAATTGGTATAGTTTTACATTTTGATTAGGGGTGTCAATCCCGAGCCCTTTTTCTAATCCCGGGACTTTCGGGACCAAAGGTAACTAATCCCGGGATCCCGGGATCAGTCCCGAAAAAATATATATCGTTAATTTTAAAACCAATTTAAAATAAAGGAACAAACAAACCAACGAACGATATCTTTCGGACTTTACACTAGTTGGAGGAAAGGTTTTCAAGAATACGTAGGCACATTGTACCCACTTCTACCCCCTATTAACAAATAATTCCATTTATTTTATCAATCGGGCCTTGGTGAGTTCCAATTGGGGCTGTAACTTACATTGAAATTATCAAGTTTGTGGAATTTTTTCAGGTTTGACGTTTGAAATATGTTATATTATAGGTTATCTACATGAATTTATTCTACAGTGACCTGTAATTTTACAGTTTTTTTGCTGATTTTATGCTTTGCTATGCATTATTTTCGGCGGTGTATAATACACTCACAGGCAAAATAATCGATCCACACAAATTTTCGATGAATTTCAATCGCAAATAACTTTTTTATTTGATTTCGGATTTAAACAAATATTAAAGAATATTGTAGAAACATTAATGCAGAATCGCTCACATTTTAAAAATTACTAAAAAATACACGTACCTACGTTTATAATATATAGGTTTAAACAAAAAGATGTTTTTTACCATAAGTTTAAGACACTCTGTAGAGTGGCAAAACTGTATATTGTTTTAAATTAAGTTGTAATTATCAAGTCGCATCAATTTTTAACAGTTTTGTTTTTGGTTCACCTTAATATATTTCTTTTTGTGGAAAATATTGATTTTTTTCTAATTGCAATTTCCAATATTTTTACTGTATGAAGAACTTAGGTTGCTATGGTCCATCCATAGCCTACGGAGGATGACAGTGACAGTTTTGTTAAATAATCCCATACTTGGACATGTCATATACAGCTTTCAAAAGCTATCAAATTGTTTTTTGTAAATTAATGTGTTAATTTTGAGGTGTCTTCTTACTTTTAAAAATGTCTCCGACTGATGTTGCCCTTTGTACTTTACTTCTTGTGACGTTTAAAACACTTGCCATGTAATACTGTGACCGTCCATCCTGGATTAAATTAATGGCTCTGGCAACATCAGTCGGGGACATATCCATTTTTTGGAGTGAGAAGACACCTCAAAATTTAAACATTAATTTCTAAAAAACAATTTGATAACTTTTGAAAGCCGTGTATGACATGTCCAAGTATGGGATGATTCAACAAAACTGTCACTATCATTCTCCATAGCATATGGATGGACCATAGCAACCTTAGTTCTTCATACAGAAAAATATTGGAAATTGCAATGTTTTTTTTTTTAAATCCATATTTTCCACAAAAATAAATTTATCGAGGTGAACCAAAAACAGAACTGTTAAGAATAGATGTGACTTGATAAATAAAACTTAATTTAGAACAATATACGGTTTTGCCACTCTACAGAGTGTCTTAAACTTATGGTAAAAAACATATTTTTGTTTAAACCTGTATATTATACACGTACGTCTATTTTTTAGTAATTTTTTAAAATGTGAGCGATTGTCCATTAATTTATCTACAATATTCTTTAATATTAGTTTAAATTCGACATCAAATAAAAAAGTTATTTTATTGAAATTCATCGAAAATTTGTGTGGATCGATTATTTTGCCTATGAGTCTAGTTTTACTTTTAGACTGCGTACAAAAATTAAGTATTTCTATATATTCCTATGAGTATTATAATATAAAAATTTTCATACGCTTAAAAAAGTATATTTTATTCTTTTAAACTTATTACTAAGATCCCGGGATTAGGATTTTTGATCCCGGGATTTTCGGGATCGGATTTTTTACGGGATCCCGGGACCCCGGGATTTCGGGATCCCGGGATTGACACCCCTAATTTTGATCTTTTAAATTGGAATTTTGTAATTAATGTAAAAATCAGTACATATAAAAAAACAATAAATATTCTTATGGGAAATTAAATGCTTTACAAAAAAAGCCTCTCAACATTTTTGGCTAAATTCACTCAATCAAAAGTTATTCAGGGTTAAAATTTCGTTTTGACTTCAAATTTAACCTTGAATAACTTTTGATTGAGTGAATTTAGCCAAAAATGTTAAGAGGCTTTTTTTGTAAAGCATTTGATTTCCTATAAGAATATTCATCGCTTTTTTTCTGGGTACTGATTTTTACATGAAATACAAAATTCCAAAGTTAAAAGATCAAAATGTAAAACTATAACAATTTTTAAGGCATGATTTTAAGGAAACGGTTCATCTGACAGAAAATTTCGTTTTAACCTTTTTTGTAGATAATTCAATTTTCTTCAAAAAATATATTTGGGTCAATTTTGTTAAACTCAATGGTTTGGGAGTTCTGAGACAAAAACTTGCTGAGGAAAAAAAATTAAAACTGCGATGATATCATGGACTCAAACTTTCACAATAATTTTTTTTTGTCACCCCAAACCATATTTTCGATATACTTTTCAACAAAAAAAAATAGTTGATTTTTTTGGCCCAGTCTATTAGATATCATTAGTTTTAAAATTACTCATATTTTCTACCAATTTATTTTAGTTTCTTCTTATTTTATTCTTCCTTTTGTTCGTCGTAAAACAATCTTCAACATTTTTCCTCGACTCCAACGATGTAAGAAAATTCTTTGGCTTCCCCTCATTTTTCGAAGTGTACAAAAAAGAAGAAAGCGTAAATCACGAAGTTGAAGATCATAGCAATGAAAATCAGGAGTACCAAGAAGACGACGAAAAAGTTACTAAAGAACCAATTATAGATATAATATACCCCAAAAAAACGAAGACTACCATTTCTTCCCTAAATGTAGAAAATTCGGAAAAATACGAGCAAATTTATAGGAATTATAGAAATAAGAATGAAGATACTCCTTGTGGAAATAACAAAAATTTAGATCAATTAAGATTTATAGAAAAACCTGACGATCTAAAAAACAATAAAAAAGAAGACCACAAATTAATTTCCAAAGACATAAAAGCATATATTGAAGACGAAAGAAGAAAAGCCTTGCAAAAACTAAAAACAAAAGACTACGTTACTGGCATTTTAGTGACATTACCTAAATTTAGTGATGAATCTGGAAATAGTGAGTTTTACATTTTTAGAAACAATAAAAAACAAATTTAGATTGAAAAATTTGTTTTTTGAATATTTTGCAAATTAAATTAAAATTCTTTACTAAATTTTGCTTTTTTATTTATAGACATCCGCCCTTTTCTTTAAATAAATAAATTTACGATTAAAGTTTTTTAAGTAGATAGTATATGTAAAAAAAATATTATATTAAATATCAAGATTTCCTCTTAAAAAATAACAAAATGATTAATTAATATTTATAATCACAATCAGGTATACAAATATTTCTAATAAAAAACAATTGACACAATAAAATTTTTGTATTGCTTAATCAAATTTAATGAAAACATTTTTATCATGTCCGAGATATATCAGATAAATACAATAAATTATAATGCGTTTTCCCCTACATACATTTACTATTAATCTTATCTTAAAATTAAACACGCAAGACTAATGTTATATAAGGGCCACTCCGACCCTGTGCTCCACGTCAAGAAAACAACGTTGCCAAGTAGAGAAATTATCGTGAAATGGGTGAAGTATGTATTTTTTTATTGTTAATTAAAATAAAAAACGCAAAAAATATGTATTTAATGGATTCATTGTCACATATTTTTTACCACAAATTGCCTTTATATGCGTTTTTCTTTAGCAGGTTTCGTTTTATTCAGAGTAGGTGCAATGTCCCGCTGAAACCCGGCAACCCCGCACGTCTCTTATTTAAACGTCACCATCTGTCAACAGAGATTTTTTCTTTGACGAAAAGTTGCTAACGAAGTAAAATTAACGAACAATCACTGATTAAAAAATGATAGCAAAGAAAATAACGGATTTTAATTGTAAATAAGTCTGATCAACAATTTAGTTAGGTTATAATTGATGTTTAATATTATTAATTAAGTAAAAGGATTCAAAATCGCGTGTAAAATGAAGGTGAATATGAATAAATTCGCTTCCAATGTTTTAAGGATTATTTTGGTGTGCGTTACCTATTTTACCATAGTAAGGGCTGATTTTGAACCTAAGGAGGATGTGGAATCAAACACTACATCGGTAAGTATTATTTTATACAAGATTTGACTTAATTAGATGTAACAGGACAATTTAGGATTTTTTGTATTAAAAAATAATTATTTTGTTGCACTACTGTGCTATTATAAATATTTTATTCATAAGTTTTGAAAAAATGGTAATTTTTAGGTATTAATAACATAAAATATAATTTAAAAAATAAAATGAAGAATTATTTATTAGTTAAATTATATCCAATTTAATTTTGCTAATTTTTTATCACCACTTGCAAATTTTTCTTGTAAACATTGTTTAAATTATATATATATATATATTGACGCATTTTATCAATTACTCATTTTAGAATTTGGGAGATGTCAGCGGGACCTCTGGAAAACTTAACATAGTGGAAAGTGTGGGTTTTCTGCACGCATTTGCAGCTAGTTTTAGTGTAATCTTGGTCTCGGAGATAGGAGACAAAACATTTTTTATAGCGGCTATCATGGCTATGAGGCATCCTAGATTGACTGTTTTTCTTGGTGCAATATCAGCTCTGGCGCTGATGACTGTATTATCAGGTGAAAATACCGTTTTTATTACAAAATTTTATTGTTTTCATCACTATCTCCATGTGTAAATAGTTTAATAGTTTTAAATTGTAAATACCAAAATCAAGGCTATTAATTGTATTAACTAGGAAGTTTAAATGCAATTTAAATCTTACTTGAATATTCTTATAAATATTATGTACCTATATGTGGGTTAAGTAAAAATGTTATGTCTATATAAAGTGATTTGTAATTACTTATGCAAATATCGTTTTTGTTTGTAATTAAGATAAATATTATGCTCATAAGGGTGCATTATACTGTAACAAACAAAAAAATAGTTATTATTTTAATGAAAGAAAATGAATGAAAGTCAAGAAAAATGTTTTATTAATGTTTAAAGGCAAAACTTTCTATATTTAGTTCCTAAAAAGTTACTTTTATTTATTATAATTACTTTTTTATGAACAAAAAATTAATTATGAACAATTATTTTTTATGTACCATACATAATAATATTCATTGAAAAATGATTTGTGGTCATTACAGTTTACATAATAATACATTTTTAGCCTTATTTGGTTGGCTAGCAAATGTTATCCCAAAAGCCTACACTTTTTACATCAGTACGGCCCTGTTTGCGATTTTCGGCCTGAAAATGCTCAAAGAGGGATGTTCAATGTCCCCCGATGAGGGCCATGAGGAATTCGAAGAAGTACAAACCGACTTGAGGAAAAAAGACGAAGAAGTAAAATCCGAAAACAAAATGAAATATTCGTTTTTTACGAGACGCTTTTTTTAGTACGAAAAACAGGCCATGTTGCCGGACCCGGAATCGGGAGGTTCCAGGAAAACGAAAACGGACAGCGTTTTTTCCGCCGTTTCCAGGATTTTATTGCAATCCTTCACCCTGACGTTTTTGGCTGAGTGGGGGGACAGATCGCAGCTCACCACTATTATTTTGGGCGCCAGAGAGGTAAGATTATACAGAGTGTCCCAGGTCACAATTAAAATATTTTTTTAGGATGTTTATGGGGTAATTATTGGAGGTATTTTGGGACATTCGATATGTACCGGATTGGCAGTAATCGGTGGTAGAATGATAGCCCAGAAAATATCAGTAAAAACAGGTAATTTTTATCCAATTTTTATCTACTGGGAATTTTTTATCTAATGGGATTTTTTTATCCAATGGGAATTTTTATCTAATGAAAAATTTGTTTTCTTTTTTAGTGACAATAATTGGTGGTATTGTTTTCCTATTATTTGCATTCTCTGCCTTATTTTTCGACCCCAATGCAGAGTAATAAACCATATTTCATACACCACTAGAAGAAAAACAATCTGTAAATATATTATGAAATATCCATGTAAATCTTTTAATCATGTCACTTTCGTCCGCATTATTTTTAAGTATTATTATGAAACTGTTATTTTTAAGAGAAAACTTTGCCATAGAATGTCTTAAATTTGCGTTTTTTTATTGTTTGTGCAAAAAATCAAGGTCCAACCGCTTCTGTGACGTCATCTAGTTAAAGAGTTGTTGAAAGACCTATTATTGTAGGGACCTTGGTTTTTAGATTCTAGATTGTCGGTATACTTTTGTTTGTCTATTTTTTTAACTGCTATATTTACCCGGTAAATTATTTATATCTCTGTGATATATATTTTTGTAAATATTAATTGGATAAATCAATAAAAAATGAACACAATAGGGTGATTTTTAAAGAAACCAGGAAAAAATGGCTGTTTTGTTGGTTATTCTTATAAAATTACCCTATAAATTACGTAGAAAGTTGTTTTATTTGTGAATATTGACAATAAAAATGTCTTATGAGTTATCTACCTTTTTTATGTCTATGGTTCAATTTAAAGGACTAAAAACCACAGTGGTCTGTGCTAAAAACACATTATTTTTTATGTCGTCTCAAATATTGTATTCTTTTAAAATAATTATAATTAGTTTTTAAATAAAAATTCATCCATACGTAAACTTTATATTAAATAAACTTATTTATTTTTAAAATTCCCGCCATTGCGTTTTCTACAAGTCTTACGTCTACGGTTATATTAACCTCAACAACTTTTTGACAGTTGCTGTCAAATAAAGTTGCAATTCATACCGACTTTGATTTATATTGTTTGTTCTCTATTAATTCGTAAAATTTCATCATGGTGAGTTAAAACGCGTACTCCATAACAAAAATAATAATTTTGTTTGATTTATTGTAGAGTTTTGGACTACCTTCTGTAAAAGCCAAACCTGAGAGCCACAGAGAGTTCGGCATTCATGAGGGGGCTTTCGGGGTGCCCGATTTAATGACGAACGGTTTGGCTGCATCTAGGGCCCCCATTGCGGCCCCACACCCCATTTCACACAGCGTTTTAAACGTAAGAAAGCCGCAATGTAACTAAACCTCAACCTTATTTTTAACTTGCTTTAGGCTGCAGAAAACAAACAAAAAATGCACATGGCGGTGCTGCGCAACACCCAGGGGCTGCACGCACCCCTCAGACTTGCCATGGAGTTAAAAGCGGCCAAAAAAGTGGGAAGGTTGCCTTTTCTGGCATCGTCAAACATTATGTTGGACGTTTTGACTGGCAGAGATATTGAAATGGGGCCTGAAGATATATTCAATATGCCTGACAACTATGAATTTGCGGGGCAACCACATGCTGTAGTTGAAAGATCATTAGGGTTACTGTAAGGGTTTTATTTATAAGTTTTGTGTATGGTTTGAATAAAAGGTTTTTTGCTAATAAAATTGGTTTGTTTTTAATTCTCATAGTGTTGGTGAGGGTGGAATTATCGTTTTTATGCAGTTGAATAGGTCTAAAATTTCTATTTTAGTTAATTCATGTGATGTTTTAAAAGGCAACCTGCCTGGAGTTATAACTATACTTAAAAAACGATTGGGGGGTTAAATAAAAAGTGTTTTAGTAATAAAATCTTTAAAAATTGTTTTATTCTTAATTATCATTAGGCAGCGGCGGAATTATTGTTTGTATCCACTCGAACAAATCTAAAATCTCCCTTTTCTTTAATTCGTGCATTGTGTTTTTAAACCTATTAAAATTAACATCAATGCCTAATTTATCTAATTCTTTATATGTCTCTATTCCCCACTCGATAGGTACTAAAGTATCTCTATCTCCATGACACATAAACAATTTTGTTTCTTTACTTTTTAATTCTTTGTACACCAAAGAATTTTTGTTTAAAAATGATGATAAAGTAAACACACCTGGTAGACCAGGGGTATATCTGTACCCTGTATGTAAAGCTAAAGCCCCACCCATAGAAAAACCACCCACAATAATTCTATCGAGGGGGACACCACTTTTCACCACATCTTCAATTATTTTATTTATTTCTCCTCCCACAGAATTTAAGGTTTCTTCGTGTTCAGGCACTTCTGGAGTGATGTCTAATCGATCAAACCATACATGACTCAACTAAAATTTTAAAAATATAAGTAAATATATATAAACAAGAAAATGTTCGTGGGTACCTCTCCTCGTAAAGGTGTATAAGGCCTTAAAGGGGCTGTAGGAAACAAAAACTTAACATGCGGCAACGAAAAATTATCACCAACCAAAAATTTTACCCAATTTAACACCCCCTGTCCTGTATCACCTGCAAAATCAAACAAATTACAACAAAGTTAAAAACATAACCAACAAAAAATTACCCGAGCCATGTAGAAAGATTACAGCACCCGAACAAAGCTTGTTGCTTTGTTTTACAACGTGCAAAGGCCCCAAAGACATTGTTTCTTTTATTTGTAATGTTATATAAACCGTTTAAAATTAACATAACCACATTTATTAATATGACGAAAAGTGCTGTAAATCGGCAAAAATATGTTTGTTTTTACAAAAATAACATTTATGTTTAAAAATTATAATATTATAAAAGATAATAATCAGGGTTTTATTAAAAAATATATATAAAATGGTGTGATCTGGGTTGTCTAATTTAGTAGTTGTCTGTAGGCAACCACTTTACGGACAGTTGCGTTCTGTGCTGCGTACGTTGGCGCCTTAACCCGAGATGATTCAAAATCGAATCTTTCTTTACACCTGCTTTTTAACTGTAGTTGGACCAAAGAGGCTGGCTGCATTTCTTTACCGGTTCGAACTTCGAAGACGAGCCAGTGCCTGGTATGCGTGTTGTATTGCGAGTCGCGCATCCGACACAAAACGGCGTACGCTGTGTGACTTAAGTCAGCTTGGACGAAAACACAGAATTACTTTGTTATTAGACGTTTTGTGTTTGATGTTGTTTAGTTGAAGTGTGCCCTGGGTAGTTGCAGTTGTTTTGCGAGATTTGTTGCCTGTTTTTAGGTAAGTGAGGTTATTTTGTTTTGTTAGGGTGACATTCCAGACAAGTTTAATGAGTTGTTGTTACTTTTGTTTTTAATGCCGAAGACAGTGTTCTTTGATTAACTGATAAATTTAACAGTTAAATTGTTGTTTAAGTATTTATAAAAATGTTTTTTTGTTTTTTATCTTATTGTAAGTACTTTCACGTTTTTTACGTTACAAGAATGTTATTAATTTTATTACAACTAATAAAATACGTCATTTATTAAGTGTTACCATATATGGTTTGATTTAGAAGACATTTGTTGATTATTTACTACGTTTAATAAAATTCAGCAGTAAGTAATTACTTTTGCATTGTATTGTTGCAGTATTAAGGTAATTGATTACAGTTTTATAGATGATATGTGGGAAGAATCAGTATGACCACAAACAGACGTTAACTAACCAACCCTCTTTATGATACCTCATTTAATATCTTAAAAATTGCCATTTAACAGTACCAAAAAATACATTTTTGTGGTTATACTAAAAACTATATTTTTCAAAAAAGTTGGCTGCAAACAAACTTTATATTGTCGGTCAGTGTAATTAAAAATCAATTGCTATAATTGTCTGTTTAGGTCAATTATATTATTAAATGTATGAATCATATAATGAACAAACTTTTGAAGAACAATAACAGTAGAAATATCGCCTAAAATGTTAATTTCTACTACTAAAAATCAAAATTTCCACATTCCTTGAATGATTGATAATCTCGTAGACGGAGTTGACTTTTAAACTATTTAAATTGTTTTGTAAACACATTAATAATCCTAATAAAAAACTGGGAAAGCATGTCATCGTTTGTTGTGCCTAATAATTTTTTAAATGTGTTTTTCAAATGGCATGTTTAAAATATTTACAAACCTGGCGCCAAGGTGTTTACTAAATTTAATAGACACTTTTGTGAGGTTCTTTGACATAAGTTTGCAATAATTTACGTTCATACCTACAGCTGGTTAAATTTGACTAGGTGACAATTTTTTGAGTAAATATTTCATAAGATTAAAAAAATACGGCAAATAAAAAATGTGTAAAAGTATAAGTTTTGTCATTGATTTATTGATAACATCTGAAGGTCAGCATTGCCAATATATTTATGAGATTTTGATTAAATAAATATTAAATATTCCTGTAAATATGCCTCTAAATTTTTTTTTTATATTTACCAATTTGTGGCCTTTATTAATTTTTACTGTGCCTCGTGCGTATGAACAGATGGAATCTATTAAAACGATATTTTTAATTTCTAATAATTCTAAAACAGGCTTAGTGTAGTATAGGCGTAAGTGTTGCATTAATTCTAGTTACCCCACGCACTTTCTAATACCACGAAGGACTATTTTCGACCTGATTGTCCTTTTTAGGCGTTTGTTTACAATTTATTTTTCGCAATTTCAAGGAGAGAAAAATACGTTCTAAAACTGTATGAATGAAATTACAAGATTCATTCAACTATTATGCATTGGGTAGTTAAATGTTGGGTAATGAATGAAAATTTCACTCCAAGAAATTATATGTTTGATGGTTTAAGGTCAGGAAGTAGACAATTTGTTTAATGTTGGGTTGTTATTTTATGCATTGAATGTTTATTGTTTTATAATTAGGACAAAATAATGTTGTCATCTCTACACACCCTGTACAGGGTGATCCCCTATAATGTCGCTTCAGTAACTTTTTTATTTTAAGTGTCCCAAAAAATTTTAAAGGTATTGAAAAACAAAAAGTATATATTTTTCAATGAATCACCCTATATATAAATATAAAATTAGATTCATTTGTAAAATTCTAAGCATAATTCATATAACATACCATATACCTAAATTCAACCGTTTCTGAAATATTCGCATTTGAAATGTTATCATCATTTTTTTTAACTGTTGGGGCATTCCACGTTACTCGGTAATTATTGTCCCGCCCGTCACAATTAAAAATTGTGAGTAAAAACCACAAGGTATTAAATTAATATTTTATAATATTATTTTTATTGTGCTTATAACTTATTAAAAGCATAATAAACAATGTTTTAAAATAAATTTTATAACGTGGAGTTTTTACTCACAATTTTTAATTGTGACGGGCGGGACAAAAATCCCCGAGTAACGTGGAATGACCCTGTTACAAATCAAGAAGCCTCAGGATAACAAAATTTATTGAAAATAAATAACTATAGTAAAGTTAAAAGGGGGCGACATTATAGGGGATCACCCTGTACATGGGCACCTTGCGTTTTTCCAAGAAGACATTTCCAACTAGCCAATCATATTTAATATTTCGTCAAAAAACTAGCATTTATGTCTCGCGCATTGGCAGCATTGTGTAGTCGACGACGAAGAAGAAGAAGAAAAAAGGCAGTCCGAAGACATATGCTATGACAATAAAACTTGTTTTAGTATCCGTTCCGTATAATACGTGAACGTCATTGATACATTTTTTTCAGAATAACTTTTTTCGCGTTGTCAAGTCGTATACTGTTACTAAAGCGAATGGACGCTATTAGCGTTAGGAATTCTCTTGATTGTGTCTCTCATTGTACCTAAAAAATCTATAAATTACGGAGAAATAGTTTTTTGCAATCTCACCATTATTGAGTCTCTTTTTTTTTTTTGGTCTGAACGCTTAAAAAATCGTACTTATATTTTTGATACATTTATCATCCACATTTTATTGTTTGTTAATATTTATAATGCAAATATATAGTCTTACGTAAGTTAATAATAATGGGTCATTGTTATATTTAATCGTTGATAAGATGTGATGTTCTGGTATTTTTATAGGAAAAAAATATTTTTTATTTTATTTATTTTATATCTACTTTTATTATTATTTTTTTAATTTCGGAATTTCGGAAATGTTTTTAATATGATTTAAGTTTAACATTGGTTAGTAATACTAACTATAACTATACTAACTTATTATGGTTATAGTTAGTATATACTGTTTATTTCGCATTTTTGCTTGGGTTGGTGTGGCAGAGTTACGAGTTAATTTGCATTAGTTTTTAGAACTGCCTGTCTGTTCATTATAATTCACTCCATCCAGGGACGTAGGCAGGTGGGGGGTTTGAACCCCCCGAAATGTGTTTTCTCTCTTTTATTTTAAGACCCAGACAATATTTGCTTAATCCCCATGTTTATCACCGTTCGAAATCTAAAATTGTTAAAATGTTTTCCCAAAAATTTCACGGGCGTGCACTAAGAGTCTTTTTCTAATCCCATTGACGTTCAGGGGGTCGTAAAAGGCACCTGTTGACAAAACTGAGATTTTATGGTCCCGCTTCTCGCCTTTCAACAACAATTTACCTGGTAAATCGCTCGGTAATTTCTTCCGAGAATGTTTTTCTTTCACGTTTCAGCCTCATTGTTGTTCTCGTATGTGTTAATTCTTCCTTTTTCAAGTCGAAATGCGTTTTCCATAATGACCACGGCTTACGATTGCTTTTGTAAACAAATACATACAACTGCTATACACGGGGTAATTCATTGTTCGAAACCATTGTGTGTAGCCTTTTTAAATTAACACAGTAGGCCTCCTTTTAGTGTATTAATATTACCTACGTACATTTTTTCCAGGGTAATTATATTTGTTAAACGATTCATAGAACGTTTAATAATTGGTATTAATTGTATTCTGTAGTAAACACGTTATTCAAAGTTTAAAAATGGCATTACTTTTGTCCACGGCTGTACATTTTAAATGAATAAATCTCTTTTAAACTTGGGCAGACTTCCTTGTTGATACGACTGGTTGCATATGAATTGCAATGTTGTTTGTTGGTGTGAATTATGTATCTCCTATACACAAAATATAAATTTTATGTTATAAGTATTACGGCTTTATAGAGAAGGAATAGTTAAAATTTTGTGGCCCAAGAAAAATTGACATTTTGAAGAATTTTTTATATGGACTTTTCGTTGGCTTGTTTCCTCATCAGTTAACAGATTCTCTGGTATGTCTAAAACAATTTTTCATATTTTTTTAATAGATGGCGCTGTAATGAAAAGAAATCAATTTTGTATTTTTCTTCTGTATAAATAACAAACTGAGATTTTAATCCAAAATATCCAGTATTTAGCCAACAAATTTTAACTAACCTTTCTACATACGGCTATTAATAGATTGTTTATGTGTTTCACGCCATTTGCTATCTTTGCCTTTTACACCCAACAAATCTCGAAAATAATTATACAAAATATTTGGTTTGCATCATTGAATAAAGCTTGATTTCCTAAACAAATTTACTATAATAGTTAGTTACGGCATAAGGCTGAGAAGCGAGTCTTTTGTGCCGAGTTTAAAGTTTGAATGCCGACGCGTAGCCGGGGTCTACAATTGAGCGAAGCATGGCATACAACGTTCAATTTATACAAACCCCACTTTCTACTTTTAATAACTATAATTATAATTATTAAAAGTAGAAAGTAAGGTTTTTTAATTCGTCTAAATTAAATTTTTTTTATAAAAATTTAATGATTCAAAATCAAAAAATCTTTGTTTCAAATCAAAAATCGTTTGATAAAATCACATTGATGCTCTAATAACCATACTAACGTAAAGTTGATGTTCAAATCTTCTATAGGTACCTATACATGATTTTAATCTTGTACATATTTTAAGTCTGACAAATAAATTACACTATTTTTTATTTATTATTAGTCACTGAGTTCATGATCATCCGTTTACAAACCTGTTTCAACGATGGACCAGCGCTAACGTCCTAAGACATCGCGACAGGGACGGAGCCAATAAAATTTTGCGCCCAAAAGTTATTTGATTGAAAAATGGTAATTTTTAGTTATTGAACAAAAATCGAAAATAAACTTTTTTTACATAAATTGCGTTACGAAAATAACGTGTTTTTTGCCAGTATGTATTTTGTTTGTTTCTGTCAAAAAAAATTGTACACTACTCATTTAATACGGTCCTGTTTTGGGCAGTGAATGTGGGAAAATTAAATTTTTATCTATGGAATGTCA